GTTATGGTTAATTATTCATATTTCCCATGAGCTGATCCGCTACATCCGTGTCAGTTGATGCGCGTTCACAAGAGCACCACGATGTATGCGTGTGGTGCTGCTGATGCAGGAGCCGGCTTTGCTGCGCCTTGTTTACAAGCAGAGGAATGCACATGCATGTGTCTTGGTACTCTCTTGAATGGTGGCAGAGACTGACCGGAAGAGAAGAAATTGCTGAATAAAGTCATTATTTTTGTTTTCTTTGCGCACAAAAAGTATTCTCGTAGCTTTTTGTTTTTTGTTTAGATGATGAATGAAGGTCTTATGGGTTTGGAACGACATGACGGTGAGTAATTAATGACAGCATTTTCATTTTTGGGTGAACTATCACTTTAGCTAAATACAAACTATCTACTAAAACTACAATATCAGAATGAGAACCTTTAGATTAAGAATAAGAATAACATTTATTGCCAAGTGCTTACACACACAAGGAATTTTAAAAAAGACACAGATAATAAAATAAAATTGATTAAATGAACATACGAACAAACACACACAGAAATAATGAGGTTTTACCTGGTCCAGTTCCCGCTGTCTTAGCCACACTTTGAGGAGGGCCACACCCTCTCCAAAAGCAGGACACTGTGCACTGATGGCCGACAGGAACTGAAGATGTGACAGTGGGAGATGATCTCCAAGAACTGTGCTGTTATAATGAGGAGTTGGGGGCTCACTGCTCTCTGCATCATAAAAAAATGACAGAAATACGATCATTATTGTTTGCTACCTCAGGCATGAAACTGAAATTGATCTCAGAAAATTCCTCATTACCTTGCTGCGTATTGGCAACAGCAGTAAACCACTCAGTCCTGATGTTGTTCTTCTGAGGATGGAAGCGGCTAGGTTTGAGGAAGTCCGGTGGTGGAATGGCATGAATCCTTAAAGTGACCTTATTGCTGTCATTACCTAAAGTCCACACACAAAGGTTACATGATCACTTCAGTTTAAAACAAACAGGAATATAATCACGCTCCTGAGTAAGACCGTCAATCTCAGTTTTTTTTCCACAGGGTTGCTTCTATTAAGTGTACTCCACGCAGCAAAAGAAAAGGGTGTGCTAAAAGCAATTAACATTGGAGCTAAAACGATTTGAGCAGATAATAACAGCATACACACTTTGGCATGAAAGCACTTGCAAGTAAATGTGATGCAAAATTCGAGGAGCTAATGAGTACCACAAACTACTCTTACAACAATTGTACCTGGGGGTTTGAGTAGTAGGATTGGGCGAAGTCGGTTGCCATGTAGACAAGAGTAGTGCAGTGAACCCACACACTTTGCGAAGGAGAGATGGCGCGCCAGGCCAGCCAGATACAGCGCTCGCTTTCGAGAGTACCGCTGGTTAATGGCATCCATTGGGTGCAAAATAGACTTCAAAGAGAAAATATACCATATTGTAACAGAATGAACTAATGCACAAATTAGTTTAGACAAAGACCGACAGTCAGACAGGCACATACATAGGCAGACGTACAGTTGATATATAGTCAGATAGATATATACACAGACAGGTAGATGGATATATAGACAGAAAAATATCCATGCATAGATGGATGGACAGACAAGAGAGATTTATAGACAGACAAATATATACAGACAGACGGATGAATGTATAGATAGACAGATTTATAGACTATACATATATAGATTGGCACAGACAGATGCATATACAGACAGAGAGACAGACAGATAGGCCTAGATATTTACAGCCAGACATATCCATGTATGGATGGATGATCAGACAGAAAGACAGGCAGACAGATGGATAGACAGACACAGACACACAGACAGTTTGATGGACAGATATAAGGACAGAGAGACAGACAGATGTATGGATATATAGACAGACGGATTTATAGACAGACACACACGTGTTATATATTTTATATACAGTATATACCAACAGACAGGCAGAAAAGTTGTTTTTGAGGTATAACTTACAGCTGGAATGGTAACAGCCAAGTCCACAGAGACTTTGGGTTTGATACACATGCCCAGTGGATAACTGCCCACCAGGTTGATTGATGCAGGAGGCTCCATGTGAAATTTGCCTTTTGCTGTCGATGGGACGAGGAGGAATGGGACTTCAACACCTGACAACCATGAAATATCATCCAACTAGAGAGAAAGAGAAAACTATTAAGAAAAATTATATTGCCAGCTACCACAGAGTATCAGTAAAAATCAGCACTTTTGCTGCTGCTGATGGGAATGCCACACAGATTTCTGACCTCCGCAACTTCAGAGTCAGGCACACACTGCAGGAAATCTGTGATCTGCTGCACAAAGGAGTCCACCAGCTTCTTCCTGTGCTCACTAAGGGCCACTACTTTCAGCAGCTCCTCCATCTGAACATCATCCATATGAATCAGCGATAAGAAAAGCTCAAAATATACATTCATCCACAGTTCACAGGCATGCCATGCACTGAGCAGTTCAGTGTTGTTGATACGATACGTTTAAACATGTTAAGAACATACAAAGACAGTAAAATGTAAATCATTTCTGACCTGCATTTTCAATATGCTGCAGTGGAAGAGATTCTCTGCTTCTTTCAGCTGGTTGAGCTCTTCCACAGTTGGGGCTTTGTACAGCTCTTTTTTGGACAGCTTGACTGGCCGTAAGACCCCACCATCTGACACGGTGCCCTTCGCTTTTCGTTTAGAGTCCTTTGACTGTTTTGCACTCTTTTTCTCATTTTCGTCTTCATTCTGAGAGTTATCTAGTAACTCCATCTGTGTATATATATCAACAAAAGTAAATCTTTAAACATATGTTATGTATTTGAAGTTAAAATACAAAAAAAATACAACTTTGCTAAGTAATGTGATAAGAAAACTGCGTGAAACCGCACGAACCTGATCTTCCGTTTCAGTTTCAGTCGATTCCTTTCTCTTCTTCATTTTGACAGAAATGTGAGCTTTTAGAAGGATATATTCAATGAATTCATTAATTTACAGTTTCGTCCAATGTACAGCTTTCAACGCGTCTCTCACATGTGCAACACATGGGACACACTAAACACAGGCTGCATTGGTGCGTTCACCAATTGGTCCGTGTGCGGGCAACCCTTCAGGGATTGGCTGCTTAACTTTGGTTCCACCTCCAAATATAATCAAGTTTAGTAGAGATTACACCAGTCGCCTCTCTAGGAATACGACCCCTATATATATTTATATATTTATAAATATAAAATGAATGTAAGGCACGGACACGAATAGATTTCTTTTATTATGTTATAGGGGAATAAAAACAATGCTTGTCGCGGTATAATGACGTCGCGTTAAGTATCACTTCACGCATGCGCTTTTTGCCTCTTACTAGCCAAGTTCGGCCGTATGTGCATTTCTTACATTAACATTATACAAATACAAAATTTACCCTTACTATAAGTGTGTTTATACGACTGTTTAGTTATTTTTTGGCACGCTTTAAAGAATAATTCTCTATGTCTAATGACAGCAAGTTATCAGGCAACATAACATACCTAATGTAAATATCCTTTACTGCTGCTGCTTCATTAACATCAATTTTTGTCAAATTATTTGATTTAGAAAATGTCCAGTAAAGAAGTAAAAGCTGAACTAAAAAGTGCCAGAGAAGCCATCAAAAATAAAGGGTTTAAAGAAGCTTTGAAACATTGTAAGGTAAGTGTTTACTTCCAGCTGTCAGCATACAGTAAATAACTTCCTTTATCTCTGTAGACTTATAG